AGATGCCCTTGGTCTTATTGATTTGAATACATTTTTGTAATATTAAATAGATTTTGTAGCAATCTTACAGATAACATGTCTTGGTTGTAGAAAAGAAAAGGCCTTTTGAGAATCCGGATACTTCAAAAAGAGACGGAGAAACTCAGCAGCAGAGAATAATGGAGGTACATGAATTTTTATTTTCCAGTTTAATATCATGTTCATAAGTAATAAACAAATAACAACAAATAATAAGTAGTTAAAAGCTGTTCCTTCAGCTATAGCACTTTGCATTTTGAGATGAAAGTTGTGAATAAGACTAAATGATTGAAGATAAATAGACAAAAGACAGAAGGTTTGAAGAGTCAGAAACAGATATTTGCAATATCTTTTCATCTATTCTTGTTTTAAAAAATTATAAAGATATACTATAATGCATGTTTAATCAGCAAATTAAATAGAAGAATATATTGAAAAATAAAATGACAATATTAGAATATAGTAGTAACATATTAATTATATTTTTAAAAATATAAATGCATTGTGCAATGTTTTTGATATCAATAATATTTATTCAAGAACCAAAATACAGTCACACCTCAATGTCCCAAACTCAATAGGACCAATATTAAACATCAAAGGGCTTGGTGAATATTGTACATGTACTTTGAAGGTTGCTCAATTATCAGACGGACTGAAAAATTAAGCAGCAATAACTGTTTCATTCTCTTTTTTGATGACTAGACATTTCATCTGTTTAAGTAGGTCATGCCATTTTACCTGACTGTAGTGAGAATTCACGATAACGAGGTTAAAAACATAAATAAAGAGAAAAAGGTGTTTGAAACCACAAAATTTTTACAACATATTGTCTACACTGTAACAACTTATCAGCATTTGAGACAGTTTCTTAATTTTTATATTCTGTTAAAAATGTATGTGTACATGTGTATCACAAAATAGTTTAATTTAAAATTTAAATGTTTACATTTCTATTTGTTTTCTCAGTGATAATGCTTCGAAAGTTAGATGAGTTGATTTCTTGTTAATTCAACTAGAATTTAAATATTGCTAAGCAAAAGGTCATGAGCTATGAAGGTCAAAATACTTTGGCATCCATGTATTTTGTAAGAATCTATCATAAAGAATCCAAACACTGACTTAATGTGTAAATATTAAATAATGAGAAAGTTAATTTGCCAGATGACTTTTGAATTTATGTGTTTTGATTGACACAGTTATATAATAAAATCAAAAATACTTAAAGCAAGCATTGAAATATTTTTTTTTTACATTATAGGTGGAGCAAGGGACGATTTCAACTAAACTGTGTATCGAAAGCAATGCTGAAAACTACTCACAATTCTCCAAAAGTGACAAACGAACAGAAAATTTAGTAGGTCATGATGGTACTCAGTCAAGTAAAAAGGGTCATGAATGTACCATCTGTGGAAGAATTTTAAGTCGAAAGGACCACTTAAAAGTACACATGAAGATACATACTTCTGATCGACCTCATCAATGTGAAATGTGTGGGAAAAGGTTCAACCATTTATGTAGCAAACGTAGACACTTGAAGACACATACAACTTATAAGTGTGAGTTGTGTGGAAAGACATTCAACAACTCACAAGACTTACAGATACACAAAGAAACTCATACTGGTGACAAACTTTGTGAAGTATGTGGAAAGGCATTTAAAAGAACAGATGCCTTATATGCACATATGAGGGTCCACACCGGTGATAAACCTTATAAATGTGATGTGTGTGGAAAGGCGTCCAGTAATTCAAGTAACTTTCTCAAACACATGAGGATACATACAGGTGAAAAGCCTTATAAATGTGAAGTATGTGGAAAGGCTTTCTCTGATTCAAGTTGCTTTCAGAGACACCTGAAATCACATACTAGCAATAAATCTTATAGATGTGATGTGTGTGCGAAAGTGTTTTATCAATCAGATAACTTACAGATGCACATGATGGTGCATACAAGTGATAATCCAAAAACACCTGATGGGCGTGACTGGACATTCACTCACGAGGGTGACATAAAGAAGCAGATTTTGATACACAGTGGCGGGGAACCTTCTGGAAGGTCATTGATCCATTCCGAACACTCACAGAATCACAGGAGGACACATACAAGTGATAAACCCTACATGTGTGACATGTGTGGGAAGGCTTTTGCTGTGGCATTAAACTTACAACGACACAAGAAGACCCATACTGATGATAAACCTTTATTTATTTGTGAAGTGTGTGGAAAGGGATTTTTTAAATTAAGAACTTTAGAGAATCACAAGGAGAAACATTCAAATGAAAAGAAAATTGACATAATTATTCAATAAATTATTTAATATATTTTTTTGTATTGATTATGTTGATAGTAATGTACATGTATGTACTGTGAAAGTTATTGTATACATGAAGGATACTTAAATATGGAGAAATCAAATGTTAAGCCACATCGAAAAATATGATCATCAATTATAATGTGATGCATTTTGGATATATACAGGCAATAGTATTCATTCACGTCATTAACCGTCGGGTGGCGCTGCGGTATTAGAGGTGGTTACGCAAACGTTTGAATTTGTCAAGCGCTTGACTGAGTGTAAACAAATTTATGGTAGCGTGGCGAGACACTGTGGCTTCTTCTGGACATATACCTCCAAATTAATTAATTTGTAACGAATGCCAACTCTCTGTGGTTTGCCAGGATGTTGTAGAGGTCGTGAACACTCATTATTTTCAGATCTAGACATTTGTTTGAGACGAAAAGTGACGCTAAATCGGTCATGAAGATGATCAGCTGATTATGGAAGTTTGTAGATAGAATGTTCTATCGTTAAAATTATATTGTCCTACGGATCGTTAAAATTATATTGTCCTACGGACCCGGTTTAACGATAGAATTCCTTCCGTGTATTCGTAATGTAGCAGAAAGAAACACGGGCGATAACTCGCATAGTGCATTTACTAGGAACAATCTAGAGAGTTCCAAATGTAAACATGGCAGGTAATTTGAATCGAGAGAAAAACGTTGAGAAAATTAATTGGATTTTCGAATTTATATGGAATATTTTTTTGGATTATGGATAAAAGGCATAAGCAATCTCAAGAAGGTTTGTTTTGATTATTTTGGTAGTTATTTCCAGTGCAAATCATTTTATATTCTTCAAAATCGTTTCGTTGCGATTCTGCAATTTTTTGCAACATTGCGAGTATATGGGTGGTATTCTAACTGTGGTGAGGGCCTGTACCGAGACACAGTTAGATTATTCTAACTAGGAAGTTTGGTAAACACGATGTCGCTTGTCACCAGAATTTCAGAGTCGGCGATATCAAAGATTAGATTTTTGGTAAAATATTGATTTTGATTAATTTTAATAAGTATCTTACGAAGTAAATGTCATTAAATCATATAGATTTAACAAGAAAAATGAGTTACTATATACAGTATAAAACACATTAACTTGGTGACTTTTTAACTTTGTCTTAAATTGAAAAAAAGTGAACTCCCTCTCTATTTTTTTTCAGTCAAAAGACATTTGAATTATTTATATTAATAGCGTCATAATAGCTTGACACATGGCAATACTATTTAATATATTATTTCAAAAGTTTGAAATCTAATTAAAATGTCTAAAGCTTTTGTTGCTTTGTGATTTTGTTGTGAAACAGACAGATGCAGCACTGGTAAATGTAATAGGATTAAATCTGATGAATCTAATGTACACTGGCAGTTTTCTTTTAAAAATGTACAAATAGAGTATACGATGTGCTTATGTCCCCATAGAATTAACTTGATTTGTTAGCAAATGGAATAAGTACTGTAATTTATGATTTAATATCAAAATTCAATGTTAATTAAAAATTTTATTATACATTTTAAATTTCAACACCAGAAATAATGAGATATTTTCCTCCACTTTATTAGTATGAGTAGGGTCTTTGATTTTCCCTGGGTAAATACATGTATTGATTATTTTATATAATATTCTACTTTAACACAGTACAATTACAAAACAAAAATAATATTTGCCCAGTTCCTTGTCAGGAGATAAAAGTAGACTAAATAAGGATGAAGTAAACTTGACATCCAGTTTTGGACTTTAAAACTCGAGCAATACAAGCCCTACAGTTCCGTGGCTGCAGTCAAGACAAGAAGAAGGTACAAAGACTGAACTGTTCCTCACGAGTTGTGAACTAAAGTGTGCATAGAAGTTTAGACCAATACCCCAATGATGACTAGCAGTCACTTTGATGTTTCTTTAAGATTAGCCATATTCTTTGACAAAGAGATGAAAAATTTAGTGCAAGCATTTAAGCTCTTAATCTTTCTCATATTGGTACATATTATAGCTATTAGCATGATTAGGTTAATAAGTGAGATGTGCTTAGAAATAAAAGATGTACAACTATTACTTTTTAAATTTCAGAACACAAGTACATAGTTTTAAGAATTTTTTACACATGTTTAATTTCTAGAAAAATTAAAAAAAAATCTTTTTGCTTGCTTTGAAAAAGAATTAAAAATGATAGTACGCGTATTATGAATTCTGTGGAATCTTTTTAATCATGTTTTGTGGGGTTCAATGTTCATGGACAAGAAAAATCGTTCATGGGTATGTAATTTTGTGGACTTTAACTCATTGATAATGTACATTCAATCAATATGTTAACAAAATCCATGGGCAAGAGAGACTCGTCAAATCCATGAACATTGGTTTACAAGAACATTGTACCTGCATGCTCAAATTTAAGTATGAAAGGAATAAACATGTATAAATATTTAATACAATCTTTATTGTTTTATTTATTTACAGCCATGAATAAAATAAGAAAAATTCTTAACAGGGAAAAGTTCAAGCTATGGAAAGATACTGTACATGTACATAATTTGGCGTTTTCAAAATTTAACGCAATCAATGAATATGGAGTTGTTGGCATAATCATGAATTAGGGCTACAAATATTTGAGTCATATTCTATTTATAAATGAATTCTTAGTGTTTTCATGAATATTAGCACATCCTCTTCTGTGCAAAAGCAGCTAAAATATGAAGCCCGCTATTTTAACTACACATACAGTAAATTCCTTTCAATGTTAATTTTTGTACCAAAAAATATTAAAATCTTTAAGTCTGTGCATTCTTTCATTTCACAAATTAATTTCTCTTGCCAGGGATTGTTTGAGTACATCAGCTTCTTTTCTCTTTCAGTTTTTGGTGGAATCCCTTCAAATAAGAATGAGTAGCAATTATTAGTATAGAGTAATAGCATTATCATGACTGTACTTGTTTTTTGGTAAAATAAACTGTCTTTAAATATTTTTAATTTATAAATAAAATTGATCTACTTTTCAAATTAAAATGGAATAATTACTATTGTAATTGTAAGTTTGTGAAAAGCCTGAAGATACTACATACAAGATTATTGTAGTTCATCTATTAGAGAATTTGCCAAGCATGAGCATAACTAGTCTGTGTGTGTACAGGCTGAATGTTGCCCCATATCTCCAGCAGAACATTTTCTCTGTGAATGTATAGGACTGCCAAACATCTCAACACTTTGTCTTAGGTTGTAATACACCTAGTGATAATAAAAGGAAATACATTTTTTTAAGAATTAAAATTGGAAGCATTGAAGTATTGCTTAGGTATAGATTATGCCCGAGTACTTTCTATTATTTAAAAAACACAAATCCGATTACGTACCAGTTCTTTTTTTCCCTGGCATCACTGACAATAGGATGGATGCTATTTCATGAATAGTATGGGGGGAAATAGAATTTTTATGCTACATATACCATCAAGCCATAATAAAGCTCCCTGTAAGCTTTGACATCTTATTTTACCTGCTGATCTCCTAAATAAAATAAAATGAAAAAATATATATTCTTAAATAATTAAAAAATAACCCAATTTACTCAGTATAGGTTTTTATTTAGAAACAAATATAAAGTCAATCTGTAAGTGAGGTCTATCCATAGTCCTGATAATACTTTTTTTTTCAGAGGACTGTAAAAATTATATGTTTTTTGTATTTAGTTGTACAATAACAGCTACTACTTGTATATATTCCTTTTATTTATTTTTACATGCAGCAGGTTTTATTTGATTACTGAGCATATCTTTTCGACTTAATGAAATTGTAAATGTAAACTAAGTTGTTGAGGGTCACATTATAGAAACACAAATACCGGTACTGTATAAAATGGACCTAGCAAATTATAACTTTAAAATATTTGTACTCATTTTTACCTTTATTATAACAAAGGTGCTATGCTCTAAGTATACATGTAGCTACTAACTATGAAAAAAATATGTACAAAACAAATAAATTTCAAATTATACATATGCACTATAAAATATAAGGACACATATTAAATCTATGTTTGTTTGTTGTTTAATTTTCCTCGTAAGAATTTTTTACTCATATGGAGACACCATCATTTGCTGATGGCGGACTGCAAATATATCTATTCTCGGCACTGTGAGCCATTGAGCAGTAATGGATCTTTTTTGTGCAAACAGGACCATGGTTTATACAGTCTCATCTCCCCACGTAACACAGTGGATTTGAACCTTCGACATTAGGTTCAGCTCTTAGATTTGGCGACTGTAGACAGGGCAGACACTCTAACCACTGTGAAATGTGAGCGACTTACATCAAAGTAAAAGTACCAGTCTCATTTTTTTTAATTTAAAAAACAAACAATATGAGGCTGATCAGAAATCAGTTATCTTTATCCAGTATCAATGAATGGCCACTTAATCTATCTCTGTGTAGGATCTGGAGAGTCTTTTGGCGAGGGTTGAAATATGATGTTTGTGCTTGTTCCAGTTTTGTTTATTATGATTGTTTTTTTTTGTAATCTGTTAAAAAAAATGAATGTTTAGTTTGTATTTGCCTTACATTGAATATTACGTTGCACTTAATTACCCTTGATGATCATTTGAGACGTTGCTCTTTTAAACAACAACAACGAAATGCAACAGTATGTAACCAGTGTAGACCTACATAACCTAGCTGTGCGATGATTGTCATGTAAAAAGGAATAAATAACAAAATATAGCCATAAGCATTCATATCATATACTAATTTCATTTGAATCTAGTGTTTGTGTAAGTGGTAAAGATGATAATACATCCGACAATCTACAAAAATGTCGATTGTCAACACAATGCTTTGTCATTGTACTATCTTCGTCATATAGGCATGCTACACTCGGTAATTCTCAGAAGGTTTCCATAAATGTATATTATTTACAAAAAATAATTACCCAAGATTCGGATAAACCTTTCTCCCGGTTGTGACAGCTCGATTATAGATCGATTCAGCCCCTCCGTTTAGCATGGTTTAGCTCCAAGTTCGAGAACACGTCCATTTGTTTACATTGTTACAAGCGCCGCGGTGATTAAAGCGTTTACGTAACCACCTCTAGTACACCAGCGACACCTGACGTCATAAATATGACGAATGAGTCCTATTGATAGATGAGAAAGCTTTAAGGTTAACACAAGTACAAATGAATATAAGAAATACATATGTAACAAAAATAGATAGGGACAGAAAGGTATATCATGCAGCTAATTGGTTTAACATAAACAAACCAGTGAAGAAAACCAACTACATAGTTCAGATACTTAACATATTGTCTTCAGAGATGTAGAAGTTCCATTTTAATAAACTTTGAATTTGGGATCTTGAATTAATAAGCCGCAATATCCATACAAGGAATTGTTATCATTTCATATCATTTGACATTAAAAAAATTTCAAAATACATGTAGTTGAACATTGTATGATGTTGTCCACCCTGCAAAATAGTGAAAATGTTTTTGTTTTGTTTTTTTTAAGGACATTGGCAACGTTTCTGGTTTTCGTATAGGATTTTTCAAGATTTTTTGAACAGGTTTAATGGTACCAAACATATTCAATTCAGGTCCTTTTAACCCATCAAGCCAGCCTTCCTTTATAGATATTGTCAAATCAATGTTTTAACAATTTTCAATGCATTTCCTATGTAAAATGTTGATAAAATGGCCCTATATTATTTTCAACCATACGTTTTCTTCAAAACCCATGTATTTCATAAGGTTTATACATTAAATACATTGTTGAAACCTTATTTCCGATGACATGCATATAATTAGGCTGAAAATGAAAATATTGAAACAAAACACAGAAATACTGGCACTGTTTTTAATTTTGAGTTACTTCCTTTCACTTCTAATCAATAATCATTATGATCAAGAGACTGGTTGTTTGTTTCTATTCTATAATTTACTTTACTGGAAGCGAACTGTCATAAAACATTTTAACAAGGATTTATAGTAACATTTAATGGTGTCTCATTCACATAACCTATAGAATCGTTCTCATTCGGTCTACCTGGCTATCACCACTTTCAGCAAAATTAATTCACATCTTTGCACTTCCCAGCATTCATGTACCTATTCTAAATGACGTCCTGTTGACTGTCTGCCCTCTCAGCACAATGTAAACAAACCCATCGCTGCTTTACTTTTATTACTGTAGAGTTGAATATATCAGATAAAAACACACGTGTTTTTGTTTACTTCTCAGTCTGTAATCTATGCTTTATTGGTTTTCAGCGCCTAGAGAATTCCATACGGGAGATCACTCTCAATGACTTTTTTTCATAAGTGAGAAAACCTATGTATAAACCTTTATTCTCCGGAAACCCTGCGTTGCCAATGACCTTAAGATATGAAGCAATCTAAGTTTTTATCTTTTATAAAATAATAATATAGTTGAAATATGATTTGATCAGCAGGATACATGCATGATATTTCTGTTTGATTTTCTTGAAAATTTTCATATTAAAAATGCAAATTATAACTTTTAATGGTGCCTTGCTTATGATGCTGGGTTTGATCTAAATTTTAGTATTAGGTCCCATTTCCTTTAAACAAACTAAACTTGCATGGATGCTACGTCTAAGGATGCACATTTCCAGGTTTATTTGGGATGCTCGATTTCACCTCTTTAGCTCACCTGAGCCGAAGGCTCAAGTGAGCTTTTCTGATCAAAATTTGTCCGTTGTCTGTCGTCGTCACTGTTGTTGTCGTCGTAAACTTTTCACATTTTCATCTTCTTCTCAAGAACCACTGGGCCAATTTCAACCAAACTTGGCACAAAGTATCCTTGGGTGAAGGGGATTCAAATTTGTTCAAATGATGAACCACGCCCTTTTCCAAGGGGAGATAATCATGAATTTGTTAAAAATTAATGGCATTTTTAAAAAATCTTCTGCTCCAGAACCGCTAGGCCAGGAAAAATGAAACTCATGTGGAAGCATCCTCAGGTAGTGTAGATTCAAGTTTGTTCAAATCATGACCCCCGGGGCAAGGGTGGGGCCAAAATGGCAGACCCAAGTTTTACATAGGAATAATTATAGGAAAAATCTTTAAAAATCTTCTCCTCCAGAACAACTGGGCCAGGAAAGATGAAACTCATGTGGAATGATCCTCACGTAGTGTAGATTCAAGTTTGTTCAAATCAAAACCCCCGGGCAAGGGTGGGGCCAAAATGGCCGACCCAAGTTTTACATTGGAATATATAGGAAAAATCTTTAAAAATCTTCTTCTCAAGAACCACTGGGCCAGGAAAGATGAAACTCATGTGGAATCATCCTCAGGTAGTGTAGATTCAAATTTGTTCAAATCATGACCTCCGGGGCAAGGGTGGGGCCAAAATGGCATGGCCGACCCTAGTTTTACATAGGAATATACAGTGTATAGGAAAAAATCTTTAAAAATCTTCTTCTCAAGAACCACTAGGACAGGAAAAATGAAACTCAAGTGGAATCATCCTCAGGTAGTGTAGATTCAAGTTTCTTCAAATCATGACCCCTGGGGCAAGGGTGGGGCCAAAATGGCCGAGCCAAGTTTTACATAGGAATATATAGGAAAAATCTTCTTCTTAAGAACCACTGGGCCAGGAAAATTGACACTCATGTGGAATCATCCTCAGGTAGTGTAGATTCAAGTTTGTTCAAATCATGACCCCCGGGGCAAGGGTGGGGCCAAAATGGCCGAGCCAAGTTTTACATAGGAATATAAAGGAAAAATCTTTAAAAATTTCTTCTTAAGAACCACTGGGCCAGGAAAGATGAAACTCATGTGAAATCATCCTCAGGTAGTGCAGATTCAAGTTTGTTCAAATCATGAGCCCCCGGGCAAGGGTGGGGCCAAAATGGCCGACCCAAGTTTTACATAGGAATATATCGGAAATATCTCTAAAAATCTTTCTCAAAAACCACTGGGCCAGGAAAGATGAAACTCATGTGGAATCATCCTCAGGTAGTGTAGATTCAAGTTTGTTCAAATCATGACCTCTGGGGCTAGGGTGGGGCCAAAATGGCCGTCCCAAGTTTTACATAGGGATATATAGGGAAACCTTTTAAAATCTTCTTTTCAAGTACTTCAAAGCTATGATTAGTGATATTTATATGGAATCATCCTCAGGTAGTGTAGATTCTAGTTTGTTCAAATGATGAAAGGCCTGGAAAGGGGGGGGGGGTAAATTCAAGCCCGATGTGCTCAGGTGAGCGCTGTGGCCCCTGGGCCTCTTGTTTCAGATAGTGACAAGTTAAAAGTTTTGGAGCAGGTTTATTCTAAAGTTACTATAAGCCCAATATTGACCTTGAACTAGCTACAGAGGGAACATCTAAGGATGCACACTACTGGACATTACTTTGAATGCTCATTTAACCTACATTTTTCAGATGAGTGACACGGATAAAGTTTTTGGAGCTTGCTCTTTCTGAAGTAACTACTTGTATAAACCATACCTGAACCAAGGGATACACACTATCAGAGTTACTTCAGATTCTG